AATGAAATAGACCAAGCCCTTCTGAACTCTCCCCTTTCCTTCTTCCTTCTTGGAACTTCTGCAGATAAGAGTGCCAGATTAAATAATAAATATACAAGATACAGGTTGCCCGGAGGGAGTGTAGCGGTCTGCTGAATCACTGAGAGGACTGCCAGGTATAAAACAGGAGGAAATGAAAACAAAGTGATGGAGTTTAGGGAGGATAAATTATTTAAATTGGTTGCCAGTTCATGGGAAACAAGGCTGACTTAGAACAACGCAGTTATGGGACAGCCAAGGAAGGAACAGTCTAGTCTGAGTATGTAAAACAAAGAGACGAGAGAACAGATGGTTTTCATGAAGAAAACGCCATCAACCCAGACCTCTACGCACACAAAATTGATTTTGGATGTTTTCAATGGAGATGATTTCTTCTTGGATCTGAGATGGCAGCCTCCAACCAGAAGGGAGCTGGTTCTAGGAAACGCAGAGCCTCACTGTGGATGAGGAGGCGATTCAGACGGGAGTCGACCTTCTTCCTCTCACCTATGCGTTCTTGGATACCGTCAGAGCAGCTCAAGTCTCACCCTGACATCTGGGTCCTCTAGCCTGAAGATTTACAAACCTGCCCGTTTTTTAAATTTTTGGGTCACACCCGGCAATGCACAGGGGTTACTCAGGAATACTCCTGGCAGTGCTTGGGGAACCATATGGGATGCTGGGAATAGAACCCGGCTTGGCCTCATGCAAGGCAAACGCCCTACCTGCTGTGCTATTGCTCCAGCCCCCTGCCCTGGATTGTTTTTTCCCCTTTTCTCTTCCTGCTGCTGTTCACTGGCATGGTCAGGAAATGTCTTCATTCCCCAGAAGTGACTGTTTCAACTTTGACTCGAGGTTTCTTTCGAGGGACCCTGGACAGGACAGCCCGCATTGCCGGGTGCTTACTCCTCTCCCATCCCCTGTTCTCAGGTTCATGTGACCACGTGACACAGCAGAGGTCTGGCATATCTCCAGGCTAAGGTGCCAGCTGGTGTGAATGTGTTTGACCTCATGACAGCAGACTGCTGATTTCCTGCTGCCAAGACTCTGAGTTTAACCTAAAGTTACCCTTCGGAAGGGTAGGGCAGGTTACTGGGGTATGACTCAACCATTGTAGCTTCTTTTTTTTTGCACCCTTAAAGGTACAGAAACAGGATTTTGATAGGGTGGTAGACCACAGAGATTAAGTTTTAGGGAAGACTTTGTGTTACGGCCCAAACAAACAACCGAACAAAACCTCCCAGAAACAGTGGTATCAGATTCACTTCACTTTTATTATGAACAAACACAATCTCAGATCAGTACAACTAGCTTCAGAATTGATATTAATAGAAATTATTCCAAAATTATTCATAGGTCACAAATAACTATTATCCCACATAAAGAGGAAAAAAATCCCACCCAATCAAGGAAAAGATATCCTGTGTATGTTTCCATGGCAATGAGTTTATGCATTCTCAAACTTTGCCTGGCTAGTTATCCACCACTTATCCAAGGAATTCAGTTTCTCAGACAGAACCATGCCGACTGATGCGAGCGTTCAGGACACACGGTTTCTCAGTGGGCACACGCTCATGGTGGACACTGCTACTATAAAAATACTTAGGACTTAAGAGAATTCCTCTGCTGAAGGATTCCAAAATGCTTTATAAAAAGCATTAGTCACGCCTCAAAACTGCCCTTTGAGGTAGGTCAGTATTATTATCCCCATTATAACAGAAGGGAAACTGAGGCACATTAGAGTTAAGTGACTTGCCTAGGGTCACACAGCAAGTCAGTGGCACAGTGGTAGGAGAGGCCTTGAACCACCCACATAGTATTGATACCTTACTTGCTTTCACCCTTCCATCTCACCCATTTGAGCTACACTTACAGAGAATACACTCAGGATACTATTTTTCCAACCAAGGAGAAAACAAGTTGCCACTGTAAATGCTACAACCATCTTTTAACCTAAAATTTTAAAAAAAAATTATAAATCAAGTACATTCAAATTACTTCCACCCGCCATCAGATGTGGGCACTTAATAAAACTTAAAAAGAAAAAAAAAGCCCCCAAAAATAAATTTCAAAATGGAGCCCAGAAGGGCATCCTACAAAAGCTCTCCTGTTGGCTCTCCAGCCGGGTCCCTTTCCCTCCCAGCCACTCCTGTACGCTCCCAGGTGGGAACCGTCTCTCAGAGAGAGCCAGGAGCGGTGAGGGCAGGCTCCTATGTGACACTGATTAGAAAGGATGTAAGGCACCCAGATAAGTCCTCAGCACACCCACAAAGCAAGGATAGCAAGAAATTTGGACCAATTCAGACCATTGATCTGAGTTTCTGGATCATTAATGTGTCATTTGAATTTAGCTTTAAAATCTTGAAGAAGGGGGAAAAAAAGTGTTCAGTACTCAGCAGACATCCCTCCCACCTACACATTCTTATCTCTACAGGGGGACCCTCAACGAGGGGAACCCTGTTCAGGCCTGCTGCAGAGCCCTGCTATCGTTCAGCTCCATGGGACAAGATTAGAGAGAAAGCTCTGGTCATACACGATGAAGTGCCTATCTGATGACCTAGATGGGAATCAGAACTAGCCAACTGCCATTTCCAAGGCATCGGGACTGGTCAGATGGGTACAACTGCTAGTTGTCCTTCCAGGCTATTCTTTTCAGCTCGAGAGGGGAGAATGCTTTCAGTCCCGTTCAATGGCCAGAGAAATGCAGGCTCTCACGCTCCCTTTACCAGTCGCCTCAACTGTGCCCAGAACGTGGGGTGTTGTATGTTTCCGTGATGGAGAAAACAAGGTCAGGCTTCCACGCAGACCTGAGGTACGGGGGATGGGAGTGTCCGAGGTGCTGGACAGTGTTGTTTTAGATCCCTTCTATACTACGTGGGCACTTGGCTGTGCCGTGAGGAATGCTGGTTAGTACACTGTACAGAAACGCTATTTAGCAAAGGTCATGGCATTTCAGATCTGTCTTGGCCGTGGCTGCGCAGTCCACCCTGGCTCCAGGGACCCGTCCTCCTGCGGAATGAGGCACTTTGGCACCTGCCTCTGCTTCTTGAGCTCCCCGTGGAAGACAAGGCTCCCTCTTACTGTCGTAAGCATTGCACAGTTGGCCGGGAGGCCTGGCTCACACTGGGCAGGTTGGCCAAGGGCACGGGGGCTGGCCCCCACACACGCACTGCACTGCATCTGGCCAGGACCAACAAGCTAAGCAAAAAAACAAAAAACAAACAAACAAACAAACAAAAAAAAACACCCGACCCTCTTTTGCTCCATGGCTGACAGATACACTGGCACACAGCGGAGAGGCTTTGGCGTGGCAGTGCCTCATGAGAGTGCATCTCTGTGCCAGGGATGTTAGTAGGGTTTTTTTTTTTTGCCAGCTGAGTCATCAATGGGGCAGGGGTGCCCAGCGGGGAGGGCTGAGACTTTGGAGGCCAAGTGAAAGTGGCTGCTAGCTCAACTTGATAGAGAGGCAGGGGGGTTCGGTGGCCCTGAGTGGTCCATCTGCAGGAGAGGGAGCTGCCCGGACAGATTGACCACCAAGGAGGGTGTGGTCCAGAGGGAGAAAATGCGGGAGAAGAGAGAACCCACGGGAGACAACAGACAGAAAGGCTGGTCCGGGGAGGTATGAGCTTTCCTCCCTGGCCCCACCTCAACCCTGACAGTGCTATTTGTTAGATGGTAACAGGAAGGGGGTTGGCGCTGTGGAGAGCAGTTCTCTAGTTTTCACTCATTCCCAGGAGAAACTGGAGTTAATCAATAATCTAACGTGTAACTCCTTTGGATAACCACTTTCCACATTAAGACATCTAATGACTTACTTGTAACCCTTGACCCCACAGCAGTGTTCCCAGAACCTTTCTCTGCAAAGTTACCATTCGAGACTGCCGACACACACAGCCTTGGACCCACAGTAAGAGGAACACAGGCGGCCCACCGTGTTTCTCCTCTCCTTCGGTTTTTACAAGTCACCTTCTCTGCCAAGGGAATGATATGACTACTCTAAGCAAAGTCAATACCGTGTATGTACTTTTTTACGTCTGAGTCCATTCCACCTCCTAAACTCCTTCCCTTTGTAGGCCGCTATGTTCACCACCATACCATCGACACATTCCTTTATTGGCCGTTTGGAAACGCCAACTTCCTTCTTACTAGGAGGGGGGGCTCATCCATTTCTCCCAAGGCAGAGCAGAAACACAAAGGCATTCTGTCAATCCCATGAGTAGCCGCACCCCCCAAATTCTGAAAACACACAATCTCCAAATATCCAGTAAAATGAAATTTTAAAATATTTCTATTGAAAAAAAAAAAAAGATGAAAAGGACCCTACCCCTGCCAAGCCCGATTCCAGTTTACTACAACTAAACACTTCTTTAATCCCCAGCCGCGATGACGGCAGAACAGCGTTGCTGAGCTTTTCAGCCAGCCCCTATGCTTGGAGTCAGGAGAGAGAGAAGGCAGGTGGGGCACTGGGACTTCACGTCATCCCCAGGGGGGCTGTGTACTGGGGACAGCGGGAGCCGCTGGCCATGTTTCCCACACCACCCTGCCCTCACTTGTCAATCACACCCTGCCTGCCAACTCTTTCCCCTGACAATTGCTGGCTTTAGAAGCTTTCTGCCAAATCATTACTTTTCCATCCCATGGAGCCAGAGCCTGGGCTGAAGGCAACTAAACTAGGGCTTCTCCAGAAGAGTCTAGTGTCACATCTCGAGCATGAGCCACTGACGCTAGGACAGCTCAAGACAGAGTCATCTGGGGCAAGGACCACTCGTCTGGGACTACAGGAGGGTGGTCTGGACTTTGCAAGCTGGACACTCATCAGTGCTTGTCTGGGCCGGGGGAGGAGGCAATGAGGGAGCAAGAGAAAGGAAACTGATAGAAATAAAGCAAAGGACAATGGGACTAAAAAACAGAGAGAGAGAGACAGAGAGAGAGAGAGAGAGAGAGAAGAAAGAATATCAGCTTAGCATCGTATGAAGGCAGAGTTGTTGGCTTTCAATACTTTTGCATTTTAAAAGAATACTGTACTGGAATGGGTTAACGTCATCATCTTTAGCATCCTGATAGCATTATTCAGTAGTTAATAAACAGAACATTAAAAAACTCTGCCTCGCTGGCTTTTGGAAAAGGAACCCCAGGGACCCAGATCTCAGCCACTCTTAAAGCTTCCATCTCCAGTTCTTTTAACCCTGGCCAGGACGGTCGCCGGGGAGACTTTCTTCCGGTCGTAAGCCAGCCCCAGGGCAGCCATGCAGTCGATGAAGAAGGTGGTGAAGTTGATGTGATAGCGGTACTCGCTGGCCGAGTAGTCATAGGGAAAGGTGTGGTGGTAGTTGTGGAACCCCTCGCCTGAAAGAGAAGATGAGCGATGTAGCGGCACCATGGACCCGGCCCAGCCCCCCGCGCCAACAGGCACTGTCATTCAGGCGAGTCCAGCCTCTGCTCTGACCCGAACCATCTCAGAGGTACTAAGGGGGGCTCCTCAGCAACCCCACCTCTCTGGCAGTTTCTCTCAGTGTATATGATAGCTACAGACCTGCTGGTGGCCGGAAAACCCCAGAGCCTCACTACATCTTGGGCCCCAGCCTCAAGGCTGAGTATTCGAGCATGCCGGGGGGGTAAGAAAGGGGAGGGTACCCATGATGAAAAAACGTTTTCTTGTGTAAGCTCAGTCAGTGGCAGAGCACCTGCCTCACACACACAAGGCCCTGGGTTTGATCCCCAGCACCCCTACGAAAATGGGGGGGGGGGGAGGGAGAACTTTTGCTCTGTTTCTTAGAGAATTGGGCCTCAACAGTCCAAGGTTCCAAGAAACGCCGTCCAGCACAGGATGGAATCATTTTAAAGTGGGGCAGAAACAGCTTTGTGAGAGAAGAATCCTGCGGTTTAGATAGTCAAAGCCCCCACCCCCGCCCCACCCCAAACCTCTGGGATTCTGAGAGCAGCAGGTCAAGGAAAACCTCATTCTGAGTGCAGGAAAGCTCTCTGTAGCAGGCAAAGGAAGCCCCAGGACTAAGCCATGCAGGACTAGGACAGGACTAGGAAGCTTCTCTCTGAATCCTATTCAGCAATTCGGCCCTTAGGAGGCTGGCCTGGCTTAAAGCCCGATAGAGAACTCACAAAAGAGAGCATTGAACCCTTTGAAGATAAAAGTAGCCCAGCAGGGTAACCATGATATTAACAACAGGCTAGGGAAGGAAGCAGCAATGACACCATCCAGGGCCACTCCTGGATGGCTTCCCTGTGGCGCCTGATTGGCTACAGTGTGAACTGAGTAGGTGGGTGGGACAACCCCAAGGCTAAAGGGACCTGCAAGGCTGGGGGGAGGAGGGGGCGGGAAGGGGATTGCAAGTCACTAGTTTCCATAAAGGGCTTGGCAGCTAGGCTCCCTAGAAGTTATCCACGCCTATACTTACAAGATTTCCAACGGAATCAGACCCACTTGCAGCTCACGGGTGTGGGGGCGCCGGGGGATGGGGGTGGGGGGAAGGTGGAAGGACAAGACTTTGCAACCAGGACAGCAAGAGATTGTCCAAGACAGGCTCCAAGGAGGAGGCCAGACAGGCGGGGAAGATGAGCATGTGACTGTGGGGGAGGTAATTCAAGTCAAGAAAGATTCCAATGGCAGGAAACCAAGTGAAAGGAGAACAAAGGGTGAGGTGTCAGGGAGGAGAGGCAGGCAGAGCCCTGTGTGATAGTGTGATAACTGAGACCCAGGGAGCTACTGGCAGCTGCTACTGACTTTTTTTCTTTCGACCTTCCCGGGAGCAAACCCAGGTCCTGTGCCCGCAAAGTCAGGCACTTTACCAGAGACCCACATCCCGGGCCCTTGGCAGCCACTCTGAGCTGAGGGTTATAAAGAGGTCAGAGGTAAAGAAACTACCTACAGATCCACTGGCAGTAAGATTTTCTGATTCCAGAAATTTCCATTTCTTTTCTTTTTTTTTGGTTCATGAGCCACACCTGGTGGTACTCAGGAGCCCATATGGGATGTCTGAGATTGAATCTGGGCAGTACGTACGGTAAGTGTCCTACCCACTGTACAAGGGGCTACTGCCCCTTGCCTCTGGGCTTAAGAAAAGCTATCTTGGGGCAGGCGGGATAGGAAAGTGGTTACCCCAATTGCCTTGCTCATGGCCTACCTGGGCTCGAACCCTAAACGCAGAGCCAGGAGTAAGCCCTGAGCACCATTGGGGATGGCCCAGAAAAAAAAAAAAAAGCAACTACAGGCTTCAGCCAAGGTCTTCTATGAAGTTAGACATGAAAGAGAGGATGAAAATGAGAGGCGGGTGGTGGAACCCTGTTTTTCTGCTGCTGGGACTAGCATGACAGAGAAAACAGGAGTGGTCAAGCATTGCCAACAGCTGCCCACACCGCATGCCTTTCCTATGGGCAGCACAAGAGAGGAGGGTGGGCGCAGAGTCGAGCCTTCCAGAACAGCGCCAGAAGGAAGGTGTCTGGACTAAGTGCTACTGGTTGGTTCGACATCTTCAGAGGCTCATCGAGGTATAAAACACCAGGCTAGCTGGCCCCCCACACCAGCATTTCTCAGCCAGGGCAACCCACATATTCCGAGGCCACAGGTGGACACTGCATACACAGGGGAGGTTGTGCCCAAGACCTGGAGAAACCCAGAGGGCAGGCAGGAAGGAGTCGAGAGACGGACTGTTCTATTAATGCCTTCCCCACCCCTGCCCAGTGCTGGCTAAGGGGGCCTGGAGGGGCTTATGGAACGGGGGGCACTGCCCTAGAACCTGGAAGAAAAAGCACAGTCCTCTTCCTCTTTTCCCCTCTTCTTCCTTTTTACCCAAGAACCCCGTCTCACGTCCTGCAGGGGGTTCGCCCCCTTCATTTTTACAGCGGGAAGCGCTCACGACGATGACGGGTGGCCCTGGTTTCTCTGGCTCCTATCCTGCCACCCCGACCACGAGACCATGAGCCGAGCGGTCGCCCCGCTGGGGTCCCGTTGACTTACCCACGGCGCCCAGTGAAACCAGGACGTTCTCCCGGGGGTTGATGTTCTTGTCGTAAGGGCGGTACCCGTAGAGGTGCGCGGCGCTGTTCACCAGCCAGGTGGCGTTGAGCACCGAGGCGTAGCGCAGGAGCGTGGCCACGTAGAAGCTGTTCATGAAGTTCTCCCCCCAGAAATACCAGGGTACCAGTGTGGGCAGGACGAAGCACAAGAGCAGGATACCGGTTTTGTAGTACCTAAAGCGAGAGCGCCTGGAGTCAGCGGCCTCGCCCAGTCCCCGGCTTATCCCTTAGGTCCACTACGGCAGAACGGTCACAAGGAAGGGGGGGGGGGGGCAGCAAGGAATCTGGACAAGGCAGTGAGGGTCGTCCTTGGTAGCAGGTGTTGTTGGCAAAGGGGTCAATGATTTTTCTAGCCTCAAACCACAAACGTATGAATGGGCAAGGGTTGGGAAGCTGGCCTCCTGATTCTAAACCCGGTGCTCTCTTAACGACAGTGTAACTCCAGGCGGAAGAAGCAGGCAGGGTCCAAATTACACCCTCCGACCCCGCAGCCTTCCTTTGCACTTTCCATCCTGCCTCTGGGCTTCTGTCTCATTCCTGTCTGACCACTGTGCAGAGTCTGTGTTCAGTGTCTGTCCTGCCTCCGTTTCCTGCAGGTCCCTTCAAAGGCTTTGCTCTGAGAAGCACTGGCCTGCCCGTGGGTCTCCATGCCTCCCGGGGCCCTGCCTGGTCCTCCATTCTCTCCTGTGGAGGTCAGCCACCCAGCAGTTAGGGAGCGGATTGCCTCCAGCTCTCAGCAGCCAAGACTCTCCAACTCGCACTGCCCAGGGAAGGCGTCTGCCTTGCACGCGGCCGAGCTGGGTTCGATTCCCAGCATCCCATATGGTCCCCCCCAAGCACCACCAGGAGTAATTCCTGAGTTCAAAGCCAGGAGTAACCCCTGTGCATCGCTGGGTGTGACCTAAAACAAAACAAAAAAGCCTAACATCTGCTCCTGAGTCTCTCCGAGGCCACCATGCTCTCGGTCCAGCCTCCTGTCCCTCCATGCTCTTTACTTAAAGGAGAGGGACTGTAATAGAACATTCTGCATGCACTTTTTTTAAGCTCATTCTGTCTGTGTCGTCACTTCCTTCTACACCCACACCTGGAAAGATCTATCCACTGCGGGATTCCTTCAGCTCCCTTCTTTCTTCTTCATTCATTATGTATCTAATCACCTGATGTTTACTCTGTGCCCCCCCACCCCTGCTTTTTGCCTCATTGCTACAAAACAATATTTTGCCTCCTCTCATAGTGATTTCCAGTCATGGCTGACCCTCCCACCCCCCAACAGGCAAGGAAAGAGGGAAACTAAAGGTCGGTGTCCATGACTGCCCTCAGTCCCTGTACCATGGCTGAACTGCTTTAATTCAGACAGCTCACAGAGAAAGAGAGCAATCACCTATGGTGCTGCGCCTGAAGGCTGTTAAAAATTGGGGTTAAGGGCCGGAGCGACAGAACAGCGAGTAGGGCATTTGCCCTGCATGCAGCCGACCCAGGTTCAATCCGCGGCATCCCACATAGTCCCCCCAGTGATTCCTGTGTGCAGAGTCAGGGGTAACCTGGGGACCCAAAAAGCCCCTCTCCCCTAAAAAAACCCAAACAAACAAAACCCCCCAAACAGGGGTTTAAATTAGGATTTTAAATCAGTGAATGTCTCAGTTTATGCTCTAAGTCATAGGAGGGAAAAAAGTCCCCTCCCCCGACCTGCCCAGCCCCATGGGGCTTCACACACCTCCTCTGGAACATCACCAGCTTCTCAGCCTTCAGGTCGGACAGGTCCAGCAGAGCCCCCTTCTCTTTGACAGCGGGGTGTTTGCGGACCAGCAGCCAGCCCACGTGTGAGAAGAAGAAGCCACGTCGGGAATTATGGGGGTCGGCGTCTGTTTCCGAAAACTTGTGGTGGACGCGGTGATCTCGGGACCATTCAAAGACATCGTTCTGGAAGGACAGAGAAGAATGTAGAGGCGCAAGGACAGATTCCCCTTAGGGAACTTCCGAGAGTCTCCCCAAACACCCAGGAATCGTGGAGGGTGGGGCAACACCTCCACCACCCCACGTGTCCCCCCACCTGCCACTGAAGCCGAAGTGGCTGAAAGCAGTGTGAAGGCCCAGGCGCCCAGCCCGAGAACTAGGGGCTGCCTGAAAGCGCTGGGTAGCAGGATGGAGCTCCTTGCGAGCACTGTGGAAGGAGCACGGCAGTTCTCCAAGCATGGACGCTGGAGCAGGCCCTGTGCTCCGAGACCCAGAGGCGGGCAGCCTGGTACCCAGGGGTTTGGTTGGCACACGCTGCTACAGAGCGCCCTGTTCTGGCAAGTCAGGCAGCTCCGCAGGAAACTATGATCTCCGTCCCAGTTCCAAACCACCCCGGGGACTCTCTCCTGTGGTGTGTGCTGACATTACTTCCTCCTCTTTGCCCACATGGTCAGACGACAGAGGGCACCTCCGAGGTGGCTGGCGCTGTGGCCCAGATGCTTGGGAGGATCCAGGGAGGCCACCAGGAGGGAGGAAGGGAACCCACTTAACTCTCTGCTTTCCCCTTTTGCCCCGAGCCAAGCCCACACTGCTTGGCCTTTGTGCACGGCCGCCCCCATTAAGAATAAGGAGCCGGACTCCCGCCTCCCGCCTCTCCCGCAGCTCACCACCACACTCCTGTCCTCAGAAACCTCCACTCACTTGTGACTCAGCGGCTGCTCGCCCACATACGGGCCCAGTCCTAGCTGCCTAACAAGTCCATGGCACAGCCCACGTCTATAAAGCAGGGAGCCTACAGCACCTTCCTCCTAAGACTGAGGATGCAATGAGATCATCTGTGTCAAGGGCTCTCAGCAGCCTCTGTGAAACCCCAACCTCAATTCCACTATGATGCAATCCCTGGATATTCACCTGCAAAAAAAGCACAGGCCTAGCCCCGTGCACTCTGGCCTGGCAGGATGAAAGACCACCAGGAAAGTCTCAGAATTAAAACATACACACACACACACACACACACACACACACACACACACACACACAGCAGTCTTGGACACAGAGTATTTCCTATTAGCTCTTACTTCCTTTTCCCCTGGTGGCACAGAAATAGCCTCATGATTTCTGGGCCTGGGGGCTGAGCCCTCCCTGGGAGTGACCACAGCAAATGGGTGCCAGAGAAATGACTGTTGAAGGTGGGCTCCTACTTAGTGCCTGGGGTGCCTCCAGGCTGCCCCGAGGGAGTGAGGAGAGAGCCGGGCAGGCTGTTGTCTTACCTGGAAGGCCATGGTGTTGGCGATGATCAGGAAGACGCGCAGAGGCAGCCGAGCTTTGTAAGTCCGGTGGCTCCAGAGGCGATGCGCCCCGGCCGTTATGCCCAGGGCACTGATGATATAGTAAAAAAATGCTGCCAGGAGAAGTTGTGGGGTAGTGGTTAGTCGTTGCCCTGGGGAAACACGTCACTCGGTGCTCTCGTGTGGCTGCTTTAGGTTTAGGGTGAAGCTCTTCTTTTACCCTAAGTTCCAGAACTACCTTGGACTTAGGCTTCTTCGATTTTGCCCATTAGAAAGGAAATACCACTGGGAGTGGGGTGTGGGGAGACGGGATAGGGAGATGGCTCCAAGTCTTCAACCATGAATCCATGAAGCCAGACCACAGGTGTAGACAGACTGAAAAACCAGATATAAACTGCCTTATGACTGCTGATACATAGACTTATCTGCAGGTATTAAAAAAAAGGCTTGAAGAAGAGTTGGAATCATAGTACAGCAGGTGGGGTGCCTGCCTGGCACACAGATGACCCAGATTCAATGCCCAATATCCCATATAGGTCCCCTGAGCACCACGAGAAGTGATCTCTGAACACAGGGTGTGGCCCCCAAACCAAAAACAAACAAAATGGTTTGAAGGGGGAGGAGGAGAGAGAGAGAATACAATGGGTAGTGGGTAAGATGCTTTGCATGCAGCTGACCCAGTTCTATTCCAGCACCCCATATGGTTCCGAACCCCTCCAGGCATCATCCTGGAGCACCAAGCCAGGAGTAAGCCCTGAGCACTGCTGGAGTGCTCCCCCCCAAAAGAACCAAAACAAAACAAATTAACTTGAGGGGATCAAAGAGATAATACAGGGGTGAAGGCACCTGCCTTGTAGCCAATCATGGTGGGATTCCTGACACCGTGTGGGGTCCCCTAGCATCAACAGGAGTGCCGCCTGAGTACAGAGCCAGGAGTCAGAAGCCCTGAGCACTGCCGGGTGTGACCCCAAAACAAAAACCAAGGCCAAAAAGAAAGGAAAAATTAACATGAGCCAAAGAGAGAACTCAAAAGGCAGCTCAGCAGGCGGGAGGCCTGGGTTTGATCCCAGGCACTGCCAGGAACAACCCCCATAAAGCAGAGTCTGAATAGCCCCTGAAAAACAGTAAGAAGAGCAAGAGAGATAGTATAGGGGTAAGGTGCTTGCCTTAGATGTGGCCAATCCCAGTTTGATCCCCGGCACCACATAAGATCCCCTCAGCACAGCTGGATGTGGCCCAAACCCCCTACTGCGCCCAAAATAGTAATAAATTATTCAATAGGACTTGGGATGTGGTTCAGCGACCAAACACGTGCCATGCATGCATCTGACCTGGATTCAGTCCCCAGCACTGCATAAATACATAAATAACTGGATAGAGAGTACACCCAGCTGTGCTCAAGGATCACTCCAGGTGAGGGGGCTCAAGTAACGACCACATGTGGTGCTGGGGTTTGAACCCGGGTCAGCAGCGTGCAAGGCAAGCACCCGACAAAGCCCCTCGCACTATCAATCTGGCGCCCAAAACATTTCCATAGCAGGTAGTGTGGCAGTATGGGCACCAAACCTGCCCTGCGCCAGTGTCTGAAGCTTTGCCAAGGATTGTGTGTTTTCTGATTCATTTGATACCTTGAATGGGGTTTAACGTCCAAAGGCGCTCGGAGTTAAGTGTTTGTCTATGGCTAGCAAAAAAAAAAAAAAAAAAAGAGCCACAGTTTGAAGCGAGTCTTTCTGTCAACAAGCAGTTGCCGGTCCAGTTCTATCTACGTCCCCAAGACTCGGTTCTCTACTCTGCCATGTCCCGGTCAGCCCTGATCACCCCCCAGCTCCCGCGTGGGTCTAGTGGGACTAATGTTAGACATAGTGGCAGGGCAGGCTCAGAGCTGTGTGGGTCCTAATACTGGCCCGCCTAGAGCTGGGGTGGGAGGCTCCTCCAGGCCCAAGAGGTGCCTGACAGAATCTTTAACTGCTGCTTGTGCAGTGATCTCAGAGGCAGGGGCCCCAGGCCTTGCTAAAGCTACTACTGACAACTGTTTCATTCCTAGCTAAACAGCTAGAAAACAATAGATCTTCAGTGGCCCTAGGACTTGTTGCCCTGGGACTACAACACACTGTAACAAACTGCCCTGTGTTCTCTCCTGCTTTAGAAACCAATTTCCTTAAATAGTTGCCCCCCTCCCACCCTCCCTCCACCACCCGCCTAATTATGTTCCTCCTAATCTATCCTATTTCTCATCATCACCCTGAGGGGAACCAGGAAGCCAAGGGAAGGTGTAAGGTGTGTTAGGTGAGGTCTATCCCTAGCTCCTCTGCTGGGATCAGGCCCCCAGGGGGACTGGCTGGCCTGCAGTCACGTGGCTTCTCTCCCCAGCTGCACTATCCCATCAGCCGGTATCTGCACACGGGCAGAGCTGAGCGAGCACCCGCCAATCAGCCAGGGGAGAGAGAACTGGTTCTTGGCTAGAAAGCATCCTGGCCAAGTTAACTCCGTGAGCTCTTTAGAATCCTTGCATTAGCACAGGAATCAGAAGCATGCGAGATCACCCCACCATGCGGGTGCCCCGGCAGCCCGTCAGACAGGAGAGCAGGAATGAGATGGAGAATCCGCAAGGGTGGGAGTGCAAAATCTCAAGTCTCTGGTGCCTAAAGAGAGGCTTCGGAAGTTTGGCAGTTTGGCCCACAGACACCCTCTTCAGCTCGCCCTAACAGGGTCCTTCAGAGAATTTCTCAATTACTCAGCCTCATGGGAAATGCTAGAATCACAGCCAGCTGCTAATTGAACACTATCCTTGAGGATAAAACACAAAGGAGAAAGGTGAAGCCAAAGCTCTTAAATCTGAATGCCGGACCACCAAGTGCCCACTCCCTGCCTCCAAACCGCCTCATTCCTCCAGGGCAGAGACATTCTGACACCCTTGAGTCACTGGGTCAGCTACGCATTGGGTCAGCTACGCACCCATGGCAGGTCGGAGTGAAATGTTCCCTTCCGGGGGCCAGAGAGATGGGACAGCGGGTAAAGCACTTACTTGCCTTGCACGGTGGCTGAGCTGAGTTCGATCCCTGGCATTGCCTACGGTTTCCAGGGCCCCACCAGGAGGAAATAAATCACCCAGAATTGGGTGCCATGTTTTTTTTCTGTCCAGAGCGCAGCATACCACAGGGGCAGGACCCAGCCTTGGTTTAGGGACAACATTCTGCCCCCGAACGCTAGCAGCTAACTGGGCGGCTGCAGCGTGGACAAACTTTGGACTGAAAGAACCTCTGGAAAGTGCTGGGCTGGACGGGGCTGGTAGGTGACAAAACAGCTGTGGCTATTGTCCATGGGGAAGGAGTAGGGTGAAGTCCACCTCCCTGGGAAGTCCCTTCTTGGCTCCTGATTCCTAGGGCTGAGGCAAAATTCGAGGAAGAGGAGGAGCACATTTCTGAGAAAAGAGGCCCCCCATCCACTGATAAGGGAGAAGCTCCTTCGGTCAGCAGAAGAGCCCATTTCCCACACCTGGGCTGCCCCACGGAAAAGCTGAGAGTCCTGCAAGAGGGGGAAGAGAGATTCCCCTCTGTTGCATTTCATGATCTGAGGAACCTGGAGAATTTCTTAAGAGCTCCCAAGTCCCAATTCCTCCCGCCTTTAGACCTCAGAGGTCTTGGGGGACAGCAGTGGGCACCTCCCCTGAGCAGACCTTTGACCTAACTCCCTGCCCCCACCTCTGGAAGTCAACATTTGTTCTGTGGAGAGCGAGTTGGGGTTCACCTGGCCTCCAAGAACAGCCCCTGTGTCTCAGAAGCCCCGATTTCCCCATTCTCACTCAGGCTAACCGAGGCAGACTGGGAAATGCCTGCAAAGCGCACGTGTGTATCCAGCGGGCAGGGCCCTGCCCTCAACCCACTGCTGACGGAGCCTGAAAGGGCTGAGCGCCGGGCAGGGCAGGGCCATCCAGAAACCCTCGCCCTGGCCGGGCAGCCCCGGGCAGGGGCTGCGCGCCTCACCCGGCCCGTCCCTTGGCAGCAGGAGGGAGGGAAACAGAGCGGGCCAGGAGCGCTGCCTTCTACCGTCCTCAGAGCGTTTTGCTGAGTGAGCCTCCAGGCAGGCACGTGCAGCTGCCCAGAGCCACAGAGCCCTGAGCCTGGGCTCCACAAGGAACCTTCATCTTCCCATGTAACAAAGAAGCTGGGTCGGACCCAGGGGCTGAGAGAGGCGGTGGGGGTGTCTGCTGGTGGATCTCCACCTCACCTCTCCTTCCACTCCCCGGAGCAGTTTCCCTAGCTGGTGACTGCTCAGCACAGACTCTGGGAAGCGACCGGTCAAGTCCCACCTTGCCATGCCTCCAGGTAAGGGGCCTCAATTCCTTTGTGGTTGGCAGGGGGCCGGGACCAGCAGCCACGCAAATGACTCAAACAGAAAAGCTCTTTCAGGGAAAGCTGACTCCAGTACAGGTCTAGTGACTTCAAAGCCCCGTGGCACGTGACCTCAGGGCTCAGTCCCCAGCAGCCTTATTACAAGAACCCCCCCAGAGTAAATATTCCCACATCCCCACCCTCCCCAGTCTACCCCCAGCCCGCTCCGTCTGGGGTTCCCTGAGAGAGAGAAGTGGCAAAGGAAGAACGATGCGCGGTGGGGGCCGGCCCAGCGCCTCTTACCCCACAGACAGGTGTAGAGCTGACAGGAAGGGATCAACACGATCCCGTACAAGGCTCCTAGATGCAGCAGCGACATGAGGATGATGTTCCTCCACACGTACTCCAGCTGGGGCCTCGGGCCCTCCTTGTCCTGGTAGCTCGGGTCAAAGATGTCATCTTTCATTTCGGGGCGGATGTCTTCTTCCAAATAGAGGGGCATCTTCTCCAACTTGCCCCCGCCATTCTGCAAGACCCTGGGCGCTGGTGCTGTGATGGTGGTGGTGGTGGTGTAGGAGCTGGAGATCTACAAGGGAGAGGAAGAAGGGAGGGTCAGGAGGGAAGAGACACGTGGACAGAGGGGGGGAGGGGGGCCGCAGTCCACGCCGGTCCGGCTGGGGGAGGGGCGGCAAACAGACCTTGCCCCCCCCCCCCACCCCCCACCCTCATCCCCGACCCAGAAGAACTAGGGGGCGGGCTCGACGCTCCGGGCACAGGCAAGTTGCCGGGAACTGCGCAGATTGGAGCGAGCGGGGGAGGGGGGCTGCGAGGGGAGGGGGGGCCGTGAAGCCTCAAGGTGACGGGGCAACACGGAGTAAAACACTCGCATTCCTCCAAACACAAAGGAAAACCCGCACGCACAGTAAACTTACACAGTAAAGGCACCGACCCGATTTTATTTTTTGTTTTGTTTTGTTTTCTTGAAAGCTTCCGAAAGAAAAGTTGGGGGAGCCAAGTCCCTTAAATCACAATTCACAGTCCCCACGGATGCAAAAAAGGCAGTTTGGGGAGAACTCGAGAAAGACGGCTCGGCTGTGCCGCGGGGCCGGCCACTCTCGCCCACACCCAAGCCCGTGCCCTCCGCGGGCGGCGGGGGCCCGGGGCTCGCTCGCTTACCTCCTCCTGCAGCAAGTGGGCCGGCATCTGGGCTCGCCGATGCCGGGAATCACTTTCCCGGGGTTGAGAGTCGCTGCGCGGACTCGGCTGCCGAGTGCGCTCGTGCGCTGCAGTCCTGGGCGCGGAGCTCGGGATCTCACGCTCGGGATCCGGGACCAGACTCGCTGTGCGCGGATCTCCCCCAGGCTTGGGGATTTAAAGGCTAGAGCTGGCTGTGGGTAGTCGTGCCCCGTATTTCCTCTGACCCCTTTTATTCGCTGCCAACGAGGGGCAAAGTGCGCGGAGTTGGCTCGCCGTGGGAGCCCCACATGGGCGGGAGGGGGAGGAGACACGGAGCCGAGGCGCGCAGGGGGCTGGAGACGCCAAAACTGGATGCTGCAGACGCACCGCGGCCCGGCCGCCGCAGCCCCTGCCCCTGGGGAAATGCTAATGGTTCTGTAGACTCTGGCGCGTCATTGGCCGAAGGGAATTTGGTGCCACCTCGTCCTGCCGTTGCCATTGGCTCGGCGCAATCTGCTGTTCCCTCTGCCGCGAGCTCCGCGCTCCCCCTCCCCTCCCTTTCTCCTGCTCAGCGCCTCTCGCACCGGCCGCTGGGCCTCTACCCGGCACCCCGCCGTCTCGGAGCCACCGGAGGGGGGCCGGGGGTGGGGGTGCATTTGCGTCGGGAGAGGCAGCGCACGCGCGCCGGGAATTGGGGTGAGGGGCGACGGGGGCGGGTGGGGGTGGTCCTGGGGAAGTTGGCTGGCAACTCTGCGGACGTGCCGTGGCGGGGGGAGGGAGGGAGGTGCCTTCCGCACCCCTCCCCGAGACGCGTGGGAGGGGAGAGACGTGGCGGCAGCCGCGGGGTCGGCGGGGAAAGGGGGCCCCGATGCCCCGCCTCCCCGGGCCGTGGCGCGGGGGTCTCGCGCCGCCGCCGAACAATAGCTCGGCCCCGCCCCCGGCCCGCGCGCCGCCAACCCGAGGCCGCAGAGCGGCGCGTCCCCCTCGTTGGCGGCGCCCACGCGCTCGGGTCCACGTCTGTGCCGCCCCGCACGCGCGCCCCCTGCGCCTCCGGGGCCACGCGCCGCCGACCACGTCCGCCGCCAGCCCCCCGGGGGTGGGGTGAGGGGAGGGGACTGGGCCCACGCCCCCAGGACGTGTGCGGGCCGTTTGCGAGGGACGTGCGCAGTTTGGGTCTGTAAATTTGGAGTCGCCTTCCTCGGAGGGGCCGAAAATGTGGCTTTCTCGCCTCTGCCCGAGATCAGGAGAAGGCGAGCGAGAGTAGCTCGCAGCTACTGCGAGGCCGTCGGCGAGAAGTGTTGTATGTAGCCCTTGCGGCGACCCTAGGAGCTAGGGGGTGCACGGGTACTTTTTTAAAGACGGGGAAAGTAAGATTCCGGGACTGGGAGATGGCTCAGAGGTTGCACGTGCTATACCGGGAACGCCGCTCCCCAAAAAGCTTGACAAGCCCCTAAGCCCCTCCCTCCTTTCCCCGGGTACTGTCCCCAAATAAAACACTCAAAAACCTGATTATGGTCCCAGGAGCCAGTGAGTAATGGAGCTAGGCATTCATCCTACAAATACGCTATGAGATCTCAGGCCGTAAGTCCCCTGGATGTTCAGTCCCCAGGATGCTCTGACTTCAAGAATTGTCGCTCACTCAAGCAGACCCTCAGCCTTTTTCACCTGAGCCCCACCTCCCCTGCACACTAGCCCAGGATCCTGGCTGGCAAAAAAAAGAAACTGTCCAGTTCTGAACCCAAGGTTGACTTCTCAAGGCTGGAGCTGGAGAGTCCCTGAGTTGAACCCCTCCTTTCCTGGCCACATAGTCTCCTGAACACCGCTGGCAGCGACACCTCCAAGGTCTGTCACCCTCAAACCAGATGGGACTGCCTTGGGACGGCCGTGCCGCTCACTGGTCTGCTGTGGTCAGGTCGACTCTGACCAGCCGCCTGACCCGGCCTCTCCAGGCTACTCTCTGGTCGGTGTGGAAGTTCTGCCTGAGATTAGATGTCTGCACATATTCAAGGCCAACCTTCCCCGTTGTTATCTCAAGGAGGACTTGGCATGTGCAAGAATGAGGTCTGCTCTGTAGCTGCTCCTGTCAGGCGCTTTCTGCCCCAGTCTGATTTGCTAAGTTCCTCAAGGTAGGAAAATCCCGTTTCTTTTAGGAGGCAGATCGGGACTTGCTTTAGCTTCGCCTGCTAAGTACATGTAGTTTTCAAGTTGATTACATTTCATTTGCTTTGCACTGGAGGGGGTTTCTTTGCCAAATAACCAAAGTGTTAACCGGTGTGTGTGTGTGTGTGTGTGTGTGTGTGTGTGTGTGTGTGTGTGTGTAGGAGGAGAGGATCCATATAGCAAGGCTGTTAGGTCTCACTGTGTGCCTCTGGCCACCATGAAGACCAGGCTCTCATTTCTGGCAGGAAAATCCCGGGGGACCATGTGTGGTGCCAGAGATGGAACTAGGGTTGGCCACATGCAGACCAAGCGCCCTCCCCACTGAGCTATCTCCCTGGCTGCAAGGCAGGCATTTTTTGCCCCTGAACCAACTCTGCTTCCTAACTGCCTAAATGAGCACTTAACCCTTGATTCTTCCAGACTCTCAATTTCATCAAGGGACTTTGTGGTGGTGGGAGATGGAGGTAGGGGGCGGAGTTAGCATTCTGGAAAAACCATCCTCCTCCCAATTTAGACTCAGCGATGTTCCTGCTGGAATTACTGTTGGCACTGTTCCTTAGGCCAGGTGCTGTGTCATTTATCTTCTGCCAGAGAAAGAGAAGGCCTGCCAAGACAGAAAATGTAGGAGTATTGTATTTCTCTCTGAAGACAAGTTTCCCGGCGGAGAACCATTGGGAATCTAAGGCAGGTTTGGATTAAAGAGAGTTTCAGGGACAAATGGTCAGAGCCCAGCAGGGTTTTTATTGTTAAGAACAACCATGGAAAGAGGACTCGTTCCCTAGTAGGGATTTTCCCCTCTGAGGTTCTTGGGGCACTGGGCAGGGCTTTGAGTGTATCTCCTGCTACTTAGAGTCTCAGGAGTTTGCTACTGGAAGAGTAATATGGTGATGTGTGGTGCGTTTTGGTATCAAGAAGTGTTTGATATCAAATCAGAGGGTAGGGTGCTTGCCTTGCTCACTGCTGAGGGTTCGATCCATGGCATCCCAGATGATGTGTTCACTTCCCCTCCCCCCACCTAGCATTACCAGCTGTAATTCCTGAGTGTAGAGCCAGGAGTAATCCCTGAAAATTGCTGGGTGTGGTCCAAAAAATGTTAAATCAGTGGAAAATTGGAAGTTATAAGCAACGTTGTGACCAGTGTTTATATGCAATAAAGTTCCTCTATAAAGAGAATAGATATTTTTTGTTTATTTATTTGGGGACCACACCCAGCGATGCTCAGGACTTACTCCTGGAATCATTCCCTGAGTTGCTCTGGGGACCATAGCGGATGTCAGGGATCGAACTTGGGTGGACCTCATCAGGTGGACTAAGGCAAATGCCTAGTCCCTGTACTGTCGGTCTGGCCCCCAGGACAGATTTTTCAGCATGTGAGAGGAAAATTTAAAAAAAGATAAAAATACTTGGGAGATTGAGGCTCTGAATTTCTCTAAAGAGGAGGGACATAAAGTACCATGGCAGGTTAAAAAATTCATTTAGATTCTTCAGCTCAAAAGAGCAAGCACCTTTCTGCTTTCTTGATAGGGTGCCCAGAGCAAAGACAGCCATGAAATTGGGCCCTGCTGCCTTCAGAATCTCTCGAGAGTTTCTGGGCCTGCTTCTAAATAAAGAATGGTTCACACTCTGGATGGAGCTAGAAGTGCTTCGAAATGTTCTGAGCTCATTCCCATTTCTCTGGGCATCTTAGAACATGGAGCCTGTCCATTCTGAGTTCTAGAAAATCAGAGAACACAGTGGAATAACAGACTGAGAGGCTGTTTCAGTGCCATGCTGTGCCAGAACTGTAAGGGTAATTTGGGCATATCACTACTTTTTTTTTGTTTTTATTTTGGGGACCACATCTGGTGGTGCTCAGGGCTTTGAGCCCAGGGGTCACTCCTGGCAGGGCCTTGGGACCCTGGGTCGTACCAGGGATTGAACCCAAGTCAGACACATGCATGACAAACGCCCTACCCACTGTACTATTTCTCCAGTTCCAGAAACAAGCATTCTTTGAAACTTTTGGGAAAGGGTAAATGGACAAATAGTTACCATGGCATTATTCATAATGTCAAATGATGTTAGAAAACAATAGGAGACAAAAAAACGAAACTATAATTTGGCTTTACACAATCAATACTGGTGCAAGTACGGTGTTGGAACATGCATTACATGTGTGAGACCCTGGAACCCGTCCCTGACACAGCATGGCCCCCTGTGTGTACCTGGGTATGACTCTCACAATGAGAATAACTCCAGAAATGAAAAAAAAAAAATTGCATTGGAAGCATTTTCTTTGAACATGGAAAATGCTTATGCTACAATGCTAAAAGGACGAGGACTCATATTTATGTTGCCTCAATTATGTCAGGAAGAAAAGGACTCCGAGGCCGAGGTCCTGCTTCTGAAATCTGCTGAGACACCTGCTGACCTTGAGCAATTATAGCTGTTCCCAGAACATTCATTTCTTAACTTGTCACATAGGGATAATTGTTTTGCAAAACAGTTGTGCAAATGGTTGGGGATATTAAATAGTGTGTTAAGGAAATTAATATACAACTGGACATGACAAGTTGCAAATCTCGTTTTATTTATGTGTTTGTTGGTGCCCACCATCTTCCCTAAAGTGCGGTTGGCATAGGACGATTGATAAATGGTGATTAAACAAATCTCATTGTGCATGGCTTTAAAAATAATGGCAGTTCTCCTTCAGGAAGTGTTTAGTTTCCAAGGGCCCTTTGTGGCAGTTGGGAGAAGTGACTCCCACCAAAAAGTGGGTTTCCATAGTGGCTTCTGGAACTCCGTGGCCAGTCACCTGACTTCTGGTTATCTCGCCAAGTGTTGTCAGTGAAGTGGGGAGCAACGATTGTCGCCCCGAGAGAAGAATGTTTCCACTTTCTGCTCGACCCAACTTGGGGAAGTGTCCCATGTGGGTTAGGGCTGGTAAAATCAGCTCCAAGCACCTCTGCCTGTCCCAGACAGCTGTCACACTGCCCCTGGGTTCCACTCGAACTGCATGGACAGGAAGCGTTTCTCTTGTCCAGCTTCTCCTCCTGGACCATACCCCTTTCCTCTCAAAGAAGAAACTCAGGAGAGGCCAATAATGATGTACAATAGGGTTTTCTTTTCTTTCTTTTTCTGCCGCATCCAGCCATGCTCAGGGCTTACTTCTAGCTCTGCACACAGGACTTACTCCTGGTGGGTGCTTGGGAGACCATAGAGGATGCTGGGGCTCAAAACTGGGTCAGCCACGTGTAAGGCAAATGTTCTACCCTCTGTACTA